ACTCGGCACCTTTTTTCTGCTGGCTCAGTATCCTGTAACTGAGATCAACTGGATGCATACGACTTTCCCATCTGGAAATATCGAGAGAGCTTGGTCGACTTCACGGCCCTGACAAGGAGCGAGCACCCTCCATTTATTTATCATCGACGCCTCACTAACATTGTCGAAGGTTGTCGGAGCTCTGGAATGGTTAGAGCTCGCGGTTAGTGCTCGCAGAAATAAACCGTTTGAAAGCGCTCGAGCTCGTGGAAACCAGTTTCGCTAACCATCCTCTCGTCAGTCATAACGACAAAAAGACTGAACCGTGAATGCCAGTGCCGGCGCCCGCTGCGTCCCTGCAGTTTGCGCCGCACGCGTGCCTTGCGCCGTTCGCAATAACATCTATGCATGCAGGCGAGCGATGGACGCGCGCCCCGTCTGTTTCGACAGAGTTGATGAAAACGCGTGCAGAGCTCGGGAAAGACGATTAAGTGCGCACTAGTACCATTATTCCGAGGTCGCTTAGGGAACAAACTCTGGGGGTGTACGAAAAACTTGAACACACTGTGTACAAATATTGAGAGCGAGGAGCAACATGGAGGAGCACAAGCCTCACGGCTGAATCTACGTAAATCGATGATCAGAACATTCCACCTCCGAGTCAGGCTACCACAACATTAGACATTTTCTGTAAGCTTTTCATTCGAGCTGTGCTCAGCGATCATATCAGCAACACATTCCAGTTGAGCTCCTGGAGCCGTCTTGGCCAGGGAAGCTGCTTCCGTCTCGCCGGAGACTGCGGCAGAGCCGGTAACAGCAGCAGATCCGTTGGCAGTGCTGTGGGTGAAATGGAGGAATCTGATGGTCTGTGCGCCATGTGTTTCCCCAGCCACTCGTTCTGTCTCCCTGACCTTTGCGGCTGTCCAGCCGCGTCCTTGTGCAACGCGTAGGACGATGAGCAGTGATGCAATGGACTAGAGAATGCGAGTTAGAACGTAGCAAGGTCATGGTACATAATTATCCACGAAGCGCACCTGCACCTGGCCCTGGATCGCCAGCAGCATAGGACTCGCGTTGTAAGTTCCTGGCCTCGCATACGTGACGAGGAATGCAAGCGTGAACAACGTGTAGAGCAGGGCAGACTCAATGAGCATGGCCGCAACGGAGAAGTATGGCGACTGCTCGCCGGGACCGAAGGCTTTGCGGACTTGGTACCGCATATGGAGCAGCTTAGTGACAATCCCGAGTGTGCAATAGCACGTGACAGAGATGGACGAGGACCAGAACGTGAGGGCCATGTTTGCGCTGGAGCTTATCCAGATGGCGCCGCCGGGGTCGGAGATTTGTGCGAGAAGGATGGATGATGAGACTGTTATACGACCTAATCAGACATGTAATAGAGGATATGCTGGATTGGGCTCACTTATAGACAAAAGAAACGCGAGCAGCGGCGGGATCATGGCCCATCTGTGTCTAGAACCAGACCACAGAATATAGAAGCGATACAGCTTGTTTACTCATCAGCAAACTCGAAGTACACTGAAAATTTCGAGCGCCACACACCAGTAATCCATCCGCAAACCATGCATTAACGGCATAAGCGGCGGTGCCTATGACATTGATTTTCAGAGAACCATCGAAGGTCTCGAATGCACCTGGTCCTCCGGGATAATTGCGGTCGTCGACATACGCAAGCTCCAAAATACGCATCTGTGTGCCGTTACCTATGGAGCCAAGGATAAAGATACAAGAGATGAAAGCGAGCATGCTGTATGCGCTTTTGGGCGAGTGACGACGGGCACCCCACCATGCGATGAAACACTGGAAGAACAAGGTTATGTGAACACCTGTAAGAGATCGTGCATTAGTGCTGGAAGCCGCATGAAGGTAGTTTACTGGATACAGCGTACCGTAACCGATATTGCCTATTTCAACGCCGACGAGGTTTGTCCTGTCAAGCCATAGCTCAACAGATGTTTCGTTAGGAGCCCAGGACATATCGCGGTATCGTGACTGGAACCCAGGGGAAGGGGCAATGTGGTGAAATTTGACGAAGCCATAAGAGGTCATATAAGTCTAGAGCTACTAGTATGATGGCGGTGATCATCAGCCTCAGGAATCATGGCAAGGTACGCCAAGCGGCACTAGTGGCGCCGTGTACGGCACATGCAATCTGGAAAGCGGTGTTACTGGGAAGCAGCGCTGCTGGGATCATATAATGTCGTACATGCATGCTGTTCGTCTCGAGTTTTGCCCAGCAAGGATGAATTCTCTGTGACAGCGATTATATGGCGTGTTCTGAGCAAGTCCTGGGCGACGCAGTGGACGTTTGTATTAGGAACAGCAGACCAGAGGTTCATTGTCAGTGTCCGCATGGCGGCTTGTTCACTCACTGGAGTACTTCTCGTAAATCGGTGGCTCAGGATATCTTGTCCGAAAAGAAACTAACCGGAACTACATGGAGAGAACCATTCGCACTATTGCCCTATGCCGAAAGTTCGCGCAGTATTGACCTCCTCGTGCCGGTCTGGCGGTGGTCACGTACAATCAGAATCATGATGACCACCAGCTTAGTCGGGCGTGGCGCTGATGTTCTGCTAGCGTGAGAGTGAGAAGGGCGGTTGCATCAGGTCACTAAAACTTCGCTCTTTTGCTTGCACATGCCAGTATGATGGCGCGTCTCCTCACATGGCTTAATCTGCGTGCATTAATGAGGCGCTGGCGCAACCCTGGAAGGGAGTTGGAAGGGCTGCCTAAAATATGACGAGGTCATGTAGAGGAAACGGGGGAGGAACCCGGGGGCACACGAGCGCTCGGAAATGGGGTACGAGACGGCCATGGAACACCGGTCAAAGTCTGCGCAAAGGTGCGGAAAGGTGTGCGAAGATGAAGATAGTGAAATGAGATATGAAGCCGCAGTCAGCGGGCAAGTAGGAATGGAGTCAAACGAGAGAGAGAGAACGCGGGAGGCAGACGTAGACGCAGTCAGAATCAACGAGGAGTCATCGCAAGTCTGGTTGCTTGTAGACTACGAGTACATGAGGGGTATATATACAGTGAGGTTCGAAAATCTAGAAAATACCTAGAAAATACCTAAAATCTCCCATCGCGCCATCGCGCCGTATCATCGCCGCGGGGGGGGAGGTCCCTGACGCCAAGCCTCGGGTCCGACGCAGGCGACGATATTGTCCTCTTTTGGTGAGTGCACTATGGGGGTCTTCGTGGCGTGCGTGCAGGTGGCTGTCGGTAATCGCGTTTGCGGGGCCAATTCGGGTCGGAGCGGAAACATGTGCGGGACGTGTTTGCTGTTTGGTCATGTTAGGATCCAAAGCTACTGAGCGACAAGCACACCCTTTCAGAAGCGGGCGTCTACAAGCTTTGCATGACGTCTGGCTATCTCGCTTTGCGCCGCCGCCGTACAACAACAACAGGAATTCCTAAGCCCTGTAATACCTCCACTTCATTCGTCTGACTGTTTGCTCTCCATGGGTCGGGACGAGGGCAAGCACTCGTCGAAGCGGCGATCGCACGACATAACTGCCGACCAGGAGCATCACCGCAAGAAGCGGCACAGGGAACATGGCGAGGACGGCGCACGGCGCAAAGAGAAGAAGGGTAGAAAAGAAAAAAAGGCCTCAGGGAGCACGAAGATTGTAGACGATGATGTGGACGACAACGACATGTGGGTCGAGAAGAACATTGACTTGGAAGGAGAGATTGTGAGTGTCGCAGATCATTACACGCCGCGCGGCGTTGTAACTAGTCTGTGCGCAGCCGCTAGCAACGGAAATACCTACATCAGAAAGCTTAAAGCTTAAATCACGAGCTGCTGAACTCCCGGGCGACCCACCGCCTTCAAAGCCCGTCGCCAGCGAGACGAAGTTGGAACGTGATGCGTGGATGCTCGAACCGGCAAACGTTCTGCTGACGGTACCGGACATTGAGAAGCGCACGAATGATGCAACAATCTACTCGGTCGAGAATCTCCCTGAAGGCTATGAGGAGTCCCCGACAACGAATCCTCCTGCGGGAACTGTCGACTTCTTCGCGAACCTTGGGACAGAACATAGGCCTAAGAAGCAACCAAAGGCCGGCCCGACGGAGGTATGTCGCAATGTAACGTTGTGTGTGTGCGCTTTAACCTGTTGCGTACTTGCATAGCCTAAAGTCAGCCATAGAGAACTCAACGTTCAGCTGAAAGAAGGCAAGAGTTTAGACGAGTATTCTGCTCCTCAAGCGAAAACAGTCACTCCAGGAGGGCCAGGCTCACAGTGGCGTATGATGAAACTGCGTCGCGTGTACGAGACAGCGGAAGAGGAGGGCAAGTCCGTCGAGGAAGTCGCGCTCGACCGGTTCGGCTCGCTCGAGAATTTCGAGGCCGCGAAGGAGGAGCGCCAGATCCTAGACGAACGCGAAGGCCGGCGCGCGAACCGCGCCGTGCAGGGCCAGAGCAAGGGAAAGGAACCGCAGGGCGAGCGGTTCATGTTCACGAACGTCGGCATGAGCGGGTCCTCGAGCAGGAGCGGGTCGTTCAAGCGGCCGGGTCTCGACGGGAGCACGTCTTCGACACCGTCGCCCGCGCCTGACGCAAGTCGAAAGAAGTTCGATTCACTCCGCCTGCCCTCGCAGGGCGGCGTCGGCTCAAAGCTCGCTCAGGTGCACACGCCGGTCCCGTCGGTGATGACGCCGACGGGCGTCATGGCGCAGCGGACAAAGAAGCGGGCGATGTCACCGTCCTCGCTCAACAAACTCCAGGCGAAGGTCCTCCGTGCGAAGCTGATGAGCGACCCGAATGCCGAGGTGCTGGAGAAGGAGTACGAGGAGGAGCTGAAGCGGACGAACGATCCCAGTGCTGATGAGGTCGGGCTGTTGCCCACGCTGGACGTGCACGGGAACTTGTACGATGTCGGACAGGGCAAGGACGATGGTCAGCTGCTGCCAGGGAATCGCAAGACGAAGGAGAAGGCGCGTCTTTCCTTCTGCACATGAGCATTTATTTAACAGTATGCGACTCTAGGTTGAGCAACGCGACCCGAAGACTGGCGAGATCATTCGCATCAACGCCGACGATGACGACATCACACTCGGCGAGATGCTGCGACAGGAGCGGTTCAAGTCTGGGGCTGCTGACCAGAAGAATCTGGACGAAGAGTTCGCACGAGCAATTGCTACTGATAGCGGCTTCGTTGCAAACTTAGACTACATGGATGACAATGCGGAGAAGCTCGGTCGTAAGAAAATGCGTTCGGATGCCATGAAGAGGCAGTTCGCCATCAATGGTATGTCACCGTTTAGCGCCCGTTCTCCTTAAGCTCACGCGACTCTTCAGATTACAAAAAGACACAGCAGGTCCTTGCCACGTGTCCATT